GAAGCCAAATGCAAAACTCCCATTGACTTTCATGGGCCCAGGATTTCACCCATGGTGCCTGCCCCTAAAAGGCTTACAACTGAATGGACTGCATTTCAGGTTGCCTGTGTCCCTTTAATTAACGTGGCATGATGGGAAGTGTTTCTCGGGGGGGAAATACAGGGTTTGTGTGTGTGTCCTGCAGACTAATTCCTCCAGAGTCTGCCTTGGCCCTGCCTAAATCCCAGGTTAGAGACCTGCAGTGAATGACCGTGTGTCAGTGAGGTCAGAAAGCTGCCTGCCCAGAAGGAGATGGCTCCAGGGCTTAGTAATGGGACAGGGAACCTGTGGTTCCACTGTCCAAAGGTCGTTACAACATGGCAACCTAAGAAGTATGGGGATGGGTGGCCAGCCCTGGCCTCCGTCCAGTGTCTAGCAGGCCGGAGTCTGTCTCAAAAAGCACCACCACAGTCACCGCTCTGATTGGCAGTTTCAGCAGAGAGGCTGAAGACTGAACAAACTTTGGCTGATCATTTTAGGCGGGCGTTTAGCAGACTCTGGAAAGACATGGCGGTGGGTGCTCGAGGTTTGGTTGGAGGCCCATGGGTGGGGCTCTAAGGGGGAACGCTCACTGCTGCTGCACGTCTTCTGTGGATAAATGGATGACCTCAGACTCCAGAGCTCTCAGGCTGGCGTCTCTCAGAGCAATTCCCCCAAATGTAAATGGAGCAAATACTAATGGGGACAAAATGCCCCCCTCCTTGCCAAGGCTGAAAGGCGCTGGAGAGGGGATTCTTGTGCTCCCTGGAGCCATTGCTGGAGGCTGTCCTGACAGATGCTGTGTTCTAGGTGTGCATGACTTATGAGACTGTACCCTGCAGAGAACTGGGGATGGTGCTCAGGTAAGAGACCAGCTTTCCTCCTCCCTTCCCCTACTGTTCAGCAGCCTCCTGTCCGCATTGCAGTGGGTGTTGCTGGGATCTATGGACTTATCATAGAATCGTAGGACTGGAAGGGACCTCAAGAGGTCATCTAATCCAGGCCCCTGCACTCGTAGCAGGACTAATTATTTAGACCATTCCTGACAGGTGTTTGTCTAACCTGTTCTTAAAAATCTCCAATGATGGAGATTCCACAACCTCCCTAGGCAATTTATTCCAGTGCTTAACCACCCTGACAGTTAGAAAGTTTTTTCTAATGTCCAACCTAAACCTCCCTTGCTGCAATTTAAGCCCATTGTTTCTTGTCCTACCCTCAGAGATTAAGAACAATTTTTCTTCCTCCTCCTTGTAACAACCTTTTACATACTTGAAAACTGTTATGTCCCCTCTCAATCTTCTCTTTTCCAGACTAAACAAACCCATTTTTTTAATCTTCCCTCATAGGTCATGTTTTCTAGACCTTTAATAATTTTTGTTGCTCTTCTCTGGACTCTCTCCAATGGCCGTGGCCTGGGCCACGTCCCTGATTAGATGCCAGCCTGACCCGGGCTGAAAGTGCTCCCAAGGCAGGGCGCATGCCCCATGCCAAAACCAGGGGAAGGATGACTTGAATGGCAAGCTTGCACCCATTACACCCCAAAACCCCAAATGCCAATGGACTCTGCGAGCAGCTGCCTTGTTCTCCAGTGAGCAAAAGGGCTGTAACTGGCTGTACCCACCTCCGGTTTGGGCCAAGGGATGTAGAGCCACATTAGTTCTTCTTCTGGCCCGAGGAATCCTGCATCCCCAGCTGCTTAGGATGTTTTCATCCGGACCTTCCAACTGAACTCTGTGTCTCGGCTCTGCCATCAGGTACTTGGACGGTCGGATCTTCGTCATCGAGGTGCTTCCCGAGAGCCAGGCAGAGGTGGATGAGGTGGTGCTGGCTGGAGACGTCATTGACGAGATCAGTGGCTTTTCCCTGAGAAATGCACGCAACGGACAGGTGGGGGGAAGCGCGCTGGGTCAGACGAACTCCTGCCTTCAGAAGCTGATGTGCCGCCCCCCTCTCCTGGGATCCTGTCTCAAGTGAAAGCCTCACTGGTGTGTGGGGCAGGGGTGGGAGTTGCAGAGGGACGAGGTGTCTGGCTGTGGGATGGGTACTGAACAATTTCCCTGATCTCAGTGAGCAGGAAGGGGAAGAACGATGTGTTGGCAGCTTGTGGCTGGATCCCAAGGGCGGGGCCGGGTTGTTCCATTGTTAACAGCTATTGAGAGTACACACAGCTACACCACAGAAAGCAGGGAGGGGATTGGCGTGGGATGATCCAAGCCCCCTGCCCTCAATGGGTGCCCTGGCTCTCTCCTCTCCTTCAGGCAGGGACTGTGCTGCAGAAGCTGAAGGGCAAGCCCCTGAGCTTCCGCATGATCCGGTGGAAGTGGCACGACGGAGGGATGTACAAGCCGCTGCTACCCTACCTGAACGTGCTGAGGGAGAAGGTCCCCAGCTTCCAGCTCCAACAGGAGCACAGACACAAAGAGGAGAAGGAGGAGCGGTGCCTGCAGGGGGGCAGGTAGGGCCGGCTGGAACTGAGGAGTGCGCGTCGGTAGGGGCGACATGATTCCATGTGCCCAGCAATGGGTTAGCCCTGAGCTTGGGAAATGAAGCCAAGCCGGGATGGGGAAGGGAGTAGAGGTCTCTGTTACATATGTGGGGCTGGGCAGCGCACTGCAGTGTGTGCTCCGGAGCAGTCCTCAGCATCCAACACGCAAAAGAGCAGCTGCTCTTTTGCGCTGAAATGTATGCTCCACGCCCAAGGATTGTGGAGATCCTTAAGATTGGTGTCAGTATTGTGACTCATCTAGAATCTCAACCGTAAAGCAGCCAGCATCATTCTGTTCTGGGGATGAGTGGGTTTGGTGCATGCTTTAAGTTGTGCTGTAGCAAGACATCTTAGAGGAGCTATGCATGGACTCCCTGTCCTAATTCTATTTCTTCCTCCCCAGGCTACTGTACAACCTGCGGTACCTGGGCCAGGCCAATGTCGGAAAGGTACCGTTGTGATTCTGATGGATTGTAGAGTGTGTGTGTGTGGAGGGGGTCTTGTTTCCACTGACTTTCATTTAACATACTCATTATTTTATTTCCCCCACCCCACCCTGATCTGTTTTCAGTACGGTGGCAAAGAGGTGCTGGACGAAGGCATACCCAAGGTGTTAGAGCAGCACCTGTGCCCACAGGTGAGTTCCTGGCTGTGACTTTGCAGGAAGGATGGACTGGCAGCTGGCATCGCTCCAGGGCAGAGATGAGGTGGTTTGGGGTGCCGGCGCCGTTCTAGACTTCTCAGCTCTTTCGGTTTCTTTTTGGTTTAATCTTAACGCTGAATTTCTTCGGCTTCTAAGGGCTTGGGGGTTTATTTGTTTAATAAGCACAGCTTCCCCGGCACTCTCACCCCTTCCTCCAGTCTGATTTCTTTGTTTGGGAATTTCCTTACTTTTTAATTCCCAAAAAAACCTCCCTGGGTCCTTAGCAGTGAGTGTGTGTGTGGCAGGACGAAAACAACTAACACAGCTACCACTCTGAAACCTGTAGCAGGGCAGGCATTCTCTGCTCCCTGGGGCCTCCTGCCTGGGGCCTTCAGAGTAGAAGAATGGGGCATGGAAGAACAGGACAGGGGTTCTTCACTGCCTGGGAACAACTCCCCCTCCCTGCTGACCCCCAGCTCTTCATCTGTCTGACAAACGCAGGGTCTCCTCTTCAAACTCTCCTCCCCCCTCATTCCTCTATGGTAGCAAACCAGACCTGTCTAGTCTCTGGTGTTCAGATGCAAATTTTAAACGCCCAGCATGGTGATTCCACTATACAGGATAATGCAACTAACTTGTCTAGTCTGTCTGTGGTCCATAAGGGTTAACCCCTCTTCAGGAAATCACTTATCCATGGGTTTTAAATCCCATTAAAGTAACTAGAATTTAATCATGTGCTGCTTCAGGGCTTTCCTGAATTGGGGCCTGAGATTGTGATGTAATTTTCCTCTGGAAAATGCCCTTTCAATTTAAAACTTCCCCATTCACAGGAACTAAAGATCTGCAGACTCCTGTGAAGTTCAATGTTTTTGAAATTTTCAGCTCTGCTAAGAACAGGTGGACTAAAAAAAGCATTAGGCACTGGAGAAAACTCTAAGCCACAATGAATTTTTGATTTGGTAGCATAAACACTTCCTGCACTCTCCAGATTCTAAGGAAAAATCCTTCTCCTACCCGGCTTTAAGCATTTCAGTTTGCAAACAAATGGGTCAGAGCCTGAGACATAAGCCCTCAGTGAAATGGATGGAGTTGAACAGGCTGGCTAGAACTGCTCACTGTGACATAATACCGAGTGCAAAGAATGCTCAGTGCTTGGGGAAAAAGACGTGCTCTACCCTGCAGAGTTATAATGTTAGAGCCTAACTCTGCCACTCTCATGCCAGCTGAATAGTACCATACTCACTGAATAGGCATAATATACACCTCCAAGTTCACCAGCAAATCCTGGGAAGACAAGACTGGTCATTTCTGATCAGATTTAAGGTGATTAAACAAGCGGAACCCGTTCTCCTTTAACAAAATGTCAGGCCTTCTGTAGACCTCATAAAGAAGCAAAATAAAGGCACAGACCAGGCATTGTTTTCCCTCTTCAGGACACTTTTAATATTCTTGTACTGGATCCATTCCTGCCTTATGTAAGCTCCACAGGGAGAGATTTTTGTTGTTTGTCTGGCATTCTGACCAGTTGTAAAGTGCGGCGTCCACCTTGTGGTGCTAGAGAAGTGCTGAAGAGTAATTCTATGGTTAAGTCGGCACAGAACAGACGGGGGGGTTAGGTTCGGAGCGTGTGTGGGGGAGGATGTGGCTGGCAAAAGGAGAGAGACATAATCTAAATGAGAATCAGCCCCAGCTGGGTTTACAATTACGCTTCAGTCATTCAAGCTTGGTGTTTGTCTACTATGAATACTGGTAGATTAACGTTGGCATTGAAGTTGGCTGAGCTAGGTTTTTGATGTTGTCACCACACCTCAGTAAGATAAATGTAGGAAGGTCCCATCTCTGCCAGTGCTGTTCGCCCACTCTGGTTCCAGATTCAACCAGCTGGGTTGTATATTTGACAAGCCACCAGTAGGGATTTAATGTATAGAAGGATCTTTGCAACCAAAGAATAGAAAACATTTAAAATAGGGAATCTGAGGATTTAAATCCTCAATCAGTTATCTACATTTCTGGGCTTGATTGACCAATGCCCTGAACCTTGCATAGATGTTTGTGAAGTAGGTTTAAAACACTACCGTTCTAGAATAGCTGTGATTGATGCCCACGATGCACTGGTATAAAGGATTTTACAAGATGGAGGGCAACAGTGAATCAGGTCCTGTGAGCTCCGAAGAGGAGAACACAAGCTGAGTATTGCATAACTCCTCCTCCGCACACAGCTTTGCCTGTCTTGACCTGAAATATCCTCTGCTGGTTCCCATCCTTTATTCCTCCTGAGCAGAGATCTGACAATCAAACTCAATTATGTGGCAATTTTGCGATCCTGTCAAATCACCACCAGAGGTTAGACGGAGAATATCACTGGGGTTATTTTCACTCACGACCACACCTCATTTGCTGCACCAACCAGCCCTTGTGATCTGTGGATTTTCCACCAGCGGAAGAAGGCTTCCTGAAAAATTGGGCTTCCATATGATTTACTTTCAGAGTAGCAGCCGTGTTAGTCTGTATCCGTAAAAAGAACAGGAGTACTTGTGGCACCTTAGAGACTAATAAATTTGTTAGTCTCTAAGGTGCCACAAGTACTCCTGTTCTTCATATGATTTACATTACTCCTGGTTAAGCGCTCTCTTGCTATTATCTTTCTCTAAAATAAATCTTAAAAGTTGGTTTTGTTTATTTAATCAGGAAGTTTTATTTGACGTGAAAGAAACTGAAGTCTTCATACAAGAGAAAACCTCTTCCAAGGTGAGAAAGGGATCTCTTCAAGTTTAGTTGGAACATTCTAGCATGTTAGAATATAGATATTCAGGCCTTCCTATAAAGCCTGTACTTTAAGAACTTAGGTGTATGTTTATCAGTTAGCTAGTTACAGGGGTATAAAAACAAAAGAATCAAAATCACAGTCTGCCTGTGTACAGGCCTTCTCTCCCTAGGATAGTCTGAGGCCTTGTTCTTAGGCTAAGGCCTTTGGCTAAGCAGCAGGGGCAGCCGTAAGCTGGGAAGCGAACGGTCACATCCTCACATCCCAAACCAGTCACGCTGAAATGAGATGGTATTGGGCTGTTAGGAAGACAATCCTGTCTTGATAGTGCCCATCACCACCAGATAAAGAAACAGATCTTAAGATGGTTAAAGAAAACTTAGTTCGATAGCATCCTGTCTGGCAAGAAATCATTTATCATTGGTTGTGAACCCCTCATTTCTATATTGTTTTATCTTTATGGCCCCCACTTTTCTATTGTTAATCTGTCTGGTTCTCTAATTGTTTCTGTCTGCTGTACAATTAATTTTGCTAGGTGTAAGTTAATTAGGGTAGTGGGATATAATTGGTTAGAGAATTATGTTACAATATGTTAAGGATTGGTTAGTTAAATTTCAGGAAAATGATTGGTTAAGGTATAGCTGAGAATATTGCTATATAAACTGGGGTCAAACCAGGAAGTGGGGGGAAGGGAAATTGCAATCATGCTTGTTGGGGGGGGGGAACGGGAATGGGGAACAGGGCTCTGCAGCGTCAAAGCTGGGAAGGGGGACACGGGGTAAACGCTCTACGGCGTCAAAGCTGGGAAGGGGGACACGGGGTAAACGCTCTACGGCGTCAAAGCTGGGAAGGAGGACGGGGTAAACGCTCTACGGCATCAGAGCTGGGAACAGAACAGACTCTATCAGCGTATAGAGATAAGCCTGACTGGTGTGAAGGGCTTCGGAATATGCTTGCTTGGAAACTAACCCCAATAAATATCGCAGTCTGCACTTCGGACTTCTGGTCTTTTGCTGCTTGCTGTCTGCGTGACAAGAACCAGGGAAGTGCGAGGGTGAAGTGAAAGGCCTCTAACATGGCACATTAGTGATGTTTAAATACCGATGTGTGTCCTCTCACTTTCCTTAGCATGGTTTTGCTTTTGTGTGTTTTTAGCTTGTAGAAAGTGCACTGACCTTTGTGTGTACACAGCAGTGTCAGAATGTGAAACTATTTTGTGTCTCTTATGCATGGCAACAGCAGCTCTGACTTCATTCTACATTTCCCTTTGCAGCAGTTTATTTAACGCTGGACTAATTCAGTGAACAAACGGCAGGCTTCAGCGATTGAACCCTGAACTGTCAGCTTTGTTGCTAATCAAATCTCTCTCTTGACTGTTACACCGTAGGTTCTGTTCCAATACCCCTATCCAGAGATCTCCTGTGTGGGTCGCCGTCTGGACAGCAACCATCTTTTTGCCTTTTGCGTTGCGTAAGTGTTGATTGTGGGATAAACCTAGTCCGGTTTTGGGATCAACTTTATCAATTACATTTTCATGCATAGTCTTAAAACCATTATCAAGTTAGAGTTAGAAAACATGTGTACTCTTTTGGAGAAACTTTGAAAGATCCGGAGATTGGATTTTGCTTGCTTGCCCCTCATGTGCCAGTCAGTAAATGAAAAAGGGGGCTAACAGCACAGGGTCCAGTAGATGTGTGCCATTGCTGTATGTGTACATGGAGCATCAGCCTTACTGTTACAGATGCACCAGATGTTGAGATGAGGTCCCTCTATGGTACTTCCTGTACCTGGACACCATTTTAAACCCCTTTATGAATTACTGGACTTATTTTTGTCTATTGATAGGAATTTTCTTATTCAGGGTTTCACCAGGGACTCCTGAACACAGTACCTTTGACTGTCTGGTGTTTGAATCAAATTCTGAGAATGAATGTGAAGAAATTATCAAGAGAATTGGTAAGCAAACATTTTACTGTTTGTTAGAGTAAAAAGGTGGAAATTCTTTGTGTTCCACCACATTCTGCCACATGCACGTACTGACTTCCACTTTGTGTGAGGTACTAGCACATGTAGGTAAAAAGAAATGTTTTAATGTGATCTTCTAAAGGTTGTGCTTAAATCCCACTGAAGTTGATAGAACATGTCTGTAAATTAAAGCTATGTATGTACTTTAGTGCTTTCCTGAATTGAGGCCTGAGATTGTGAAGTAATTCTTCTCTGGAAAATGCCCTTTCAGTTTAACTGCCCCAATCACAAGATCTAATGAGCTGCACCCATGTGTGAAGTTAGGTGTTCTGGACACTGTCCCTGCTGAGAACAGGTGGGCTAAAAAAGCATAAGGCATTGGGAAAGATGTAAATCACAAGTAACTTTTTACTTCCACTCTTTTTTGTGATGTCTAATTAGCATAGTAGGTAAATTCTAGTGATTCTTATAATACTGTAGCTAATTTATTTACCACATACCCAAGTTTCAGTATCTCCACTCAGTGAATGGAGTTAGTGTTGTTTTAGGGAGCTAATATTTAAATATACTTTTCCAAGTAGGACTGAATCAAGCTGTGGGAAGTTCCATTGCTTGCAAGACTTGGGTTTTATTTACCCAGGTATCTAAAGGTGGGTCTACACAGCAAAAAACACAGGAGTCCTCCGAGCCCAGGTCAACTTATTTGGGCTTGCAGCCTGGGGCTAAAAATAGCAGTGTACACTTTTGGGCTAGGGCTGGAACCCTGGGCTCTGACACTCAGCAAGAATCTCAGAGCCTGGGATCCAGCCTGAAGCCGGATGTTGACGCTATTTTTAGCTCTGTGGTGTGAGCCGAAGTCAGTTGACCAGGGCTCTGAGACTCACCGCTGTGGGTCTTTTTTTTTTTTTGCTGTGTAAACACCCCCAAAGGTACTTATTGGGCAACACCCCTGTGTGAGCTAGGGCAATGCATTTATTGCCATTTTACAGCAGGGGAACTGAAGGAGAGGCTAAGCAACTTGCCCCAAAGTCACACAGGAAGTCTGTGCTAGAGCAGGGATTGAACCTGGATCGCCCAAGTCCTAGTGCCCAAACCACCGGACCATCCTTCATAATAAAATGTGTCAAGATAGTGGTATCCTGTTTGCTTAACTTTCTACATTTAAGATGTTTTCAAGTGATTTACATCATAATTCAGTGCTCTTGTTAGAGTCTTGTATTACCCTGTAGTATTTGGACACTTATCTTGGTGGTGTTGAGAGTATCTAAGATTTGGGGAAAAATAATGTTCTACATAATTATAAAGGTGTTACTGCTATGACATTTTGTCCCAAATTAATCATTCTGTAAAGGGGAAAGAGGGTGCTGGAGCCACCCTTAAAGAATAACTGGTAATAAGTGCTTGTTCCCTCAGCTGCTGGATTTAAACACACTGAATGGTTTGTCTGATGAGAAGGGGGAGTGATGGCTCTAGCTCTGAGCATTCTCCAGGCACTCCAGTGACCCACATATGGAGCCCTGGTGACAATTCCATCCTATTTTCAAATGCTGACCTTGACAACGGATTAAGAGGCTGTCTTCACTTGTAATATGAACTGAATTTAGGATTTTATTTTTAAAGTGTCAGAATTTTGGAAGGAAGTGTTTCAAATGCAGTCTGTTCTAAGGTATCAGTCTGAAGGCCAAGGCTAACTTACTGCCCAGTCTCAACATCATAAGCTGTTTAATTAAAAAAAAACAAAAAAAAAAACACAATCCCCCTGGAGTTTCACTAAAAGCTTTTAAATTTCTGTGGAATAAAACATGGGAATAACATAGCTGTTCCCAGTGTCAATTTTTCCATGCTTGACTTTAGTATGGATGCAAGTGCTTGTATAACAGCCAAAGGACAAAAAAGAGACTGACCTCCTTCCCCACAGCAAGTTGGACAGGACAGCAATTTCAGTGTTAAGAGCAGCACTGTAGCTTGTGATAGGTTAACACCTTTTCTGTATCTTTAAATTAGAAGTGAAATTAAGTTGTGGCTGCTACCAGTAGCAAGTGCTCAAAGATGTATTACAGGTTTTGTTTTTTAAACAGTAAAATGTTTTAGAATTTCAACTAAGTTTGCCCCCCCTCACCTCTGTTCCAGGAA